AGTAATTTATTTAATTCCAATAAAAAAACATTAGATTTGAAAAAAGTGTTTTTAAAGTGTTTATTTTCATTATAAAAAAGCTTATGTTGATATTTTTAAATGATGACATTTTCATTCTGATTCCTTATATATCAGAAACAATTTTTAAAGGCAATTTTTTGAAAAATGTGTCGAAAACATTCCAATGCTAAGTTATTATATATTACATTTGTGTCACACTGGTTAAAAAGAGGTAAAATCATGATTAAACTGTCTCCGGGGCTACCCTCCAATTTTGAAGCATGCTTTTTTTCTAACATTTTTTCTTTTATTTTTTGTATGTTATTAAGATACAAAATAATTATTTTTTTGCTTCTAATTCGATAGATGAATGTTTGAATTTTTTTTAAAAGTCTTTTGACACTTTGTTTTCTGTTAGCACATGTGTACAATCTATATTTTTCTTAAGTTTCTGTTAGCACATGTGTACAATCTATATTCTCCTCAAGTCGGGGCTACCCGACTCTCTCCTATCTTTTATGATTAAGTAATAAATTTTTAAATGAGTAGATTAACTTACTCAACTAGGCGACACTGACTGCTGATGGCATATGTACTGATACACATACTTTAGATGAGTCCGCAAAATTTATACTTATGTACTGATACATACTTTAGATGAGTCCGCAAAATTTATACTTATGTACTGATACATACTTTAGATGAGTCCGCAAAATTTATACCTAGAATTTGAATGTGCTCTTAAACTTTAACAGGATCTGAAATCTGTAAAAAAAAATCCGTCTTTGCGTCCATTTATGATGTTTTTCTTGTAAAGTTATTTTTATACAGGTTATTGAGTTTTGTCTCTTGAAATATTTACTTTTTGTCTTTTTTTGTTTACATTCAAGAAAATTGGTTTCATCCGAACTGTTAAATGTTTGGATGATGATTACTCTTGCGTAGATTTTTAGTTTATCCAAATTAATTCTATGACACGAGTTTATGATTTATAAAATAATTCCTCTGATATTCAATTGTTTGGATTACCAGTTTATCGTTTAAGCACATCAGTTAAAATATCCTATCCACATTCGCAATTTTTTTAGAATTTTTTTTTTTTTAATTGACACACTTTTTTTTTATTCCCATTGGCTTGCCACGCTCTAAGCGATAAGAAAAAAGCGACAAAAAAAACAAAAACTCATTCAAAAAATTTAATACAGACACAAATAGGTAATAATCTTAAGGCACAATATTCTTAGTTTCATTCTTTCAATGATAATATTATTATATCATTTGTTTCTATTAAGTAAATTATAAGCATTCATTTTACAGCATTGTACGTAAAACACGATGACAGTGCGCTAAAATATTTGCTATAGTTTACCAAAAAAAGCCTGTGATTAAGAAGAGCTTGAAGAGCTATTTTTGCAACTGTTTCTGTTATTATAACTTTTTAAGGATAGCATAACAACCCGGGCATATCATGCAATTTAAGCTATCAACAAATTTATGAAATATTAGTACTGTTAAGAGATTAATCTCCACTAATTATGCAAGCATTTTTTTCACCAACAATTTTTAGCAAATGACTTTTGTGTTTTTATCAAATTTTACCTTGCTTAAATATCATCATAAGCAATGAAAAGGGGCCATCCATAAAGAACGTCACCATTTTTAGCCAATTTAGAACCCCCTCCCCCTCCTTTGTCACCGGTTGTCCTTTTTCCCTTTATACCCCTGGAAAACTGGAAAAGGATGTCATAAAATCCTGACCCTTCTCCCTATTTTTAACTCCAAAAAAATTTATTTTATCGTGCCATAATGTTTGAATCTGCTGCTACACCTTTAAAAAATAAAATTAAAAATATTCTCATACATTATCTTTTCAAAAATACAAAGTTTTCCATGTTAATTAAACTAAAATAAAAAATCTATAAAATGACGTCCTTAACTGACAACCTTCCCTCCCCTTGTCCTTTTTTGTCCTTTTTAACTTGACCTCCCCCCCCCCCCCCCCTCCTATTTGGATGACGTCTTTTATGGATGGCCCCAAACTGAATCCATTTTTCTTTTTTTTTTTTTTAACTTTTTTTCGCTATGAACATACTTATTTCTTGGCTATTTGACTTCCGGAGATAATGCTCTTTAAACGTTTGAGCTTTATTCGATTTTGTTTGGTTCTATCAACTTGTAAATATATAGAAAAATTTAATTGTAATCATAAATTTATATTTAGTCAACTTGGTATTTCAAAAATTACATAAAACATGTTAAAAAATTTTTCAGTTTGATAAACAAAATCAATTTTTGCAACTATAAATTTGCGCTCAAAAAAATCATTTAGCAGCTGCATTAACTTATAATAAAATCAATTTCGACATTTTTAAAAGTGTATAAAAATACTACAGGCCATCTGCTATCAATATATAAAACAAATAAACAGTTTAAAACAAATTTGAAAAAGCAAATTTTTTTCTTCTACATTATCAAAACGTTACACTGTTCACAGTCAACTTTTAAAACTCCTTAGGGTTCTTGATAGTGTTAACCAAACATTGTATTTGCTGATTGTAAACTAAGTTTTTTTTGTGAAGTTTCAAATCATTTGAATTTTGTTCATAAAAGTTTAATGCTTTTTAAAATTCTATTTTAGTAAGGAGCCAAAACAAAATAGTTAAATGTTTCCAAACATTGACAAACAAAACAACTTTAGTTATAATCAAAAGCAAAAACATTAATTTTTCTTTTGTGATCATCAAATATCATCAAAAACAGCTCTGAATAGATCAATAAAAATAATAATGATATTGTAACTACAAATAAGTTCAATTCAATATTTTGTTATTTCAAAAACAAAACGATTTAATATACTATTCAAAGTATTGCTAATAGTTTATTGGTTCCGTGTCTAAAATTACTTTCGTTGTTTGAGACTAAAATAAACCAACCCAATTTATGACCCTGTTTTTAAGTAAAGTGTATTCTAATGAGTGCGCAGTTTGCATCACTTAACAAAAATAGTAGTCAGACGGGGCAAGATCTGGACTATACGGCGGGTAAAGGCTAAACCTCCCACTCAATAGTTTTTCCCGTTTTTGCGACTTGTGGTCAAACGCTGTCATGACAGAGAATTATTCGTGTTGCATATTTTAGCCATTTTTCATCAATTACTCTCTTCAAACGGATTAATTTTGTTTGGTAAGAGTCCTCCTTGATTGTCTGCTACACTTTCAACAGCTCATAATACAAACACACTTCTGATCCTAACAAATACAGAACATTATCTTAGCCCAGGGAATATTTTGCTTTGGTTGAATTGATCTTTAGGTGCCGCGTTGCACATATGCTTTTTTTCGCTTTGGATTTTTATAATGAATTCACTTGTCATTGCCCATAATAGTACAATGCAAAAAAGACTTCTTTTTATATCGTTCAAACAGTATTTTTGAAGAAAATTGTTTTTGAAAAAAAGTCACCATAAACTTTCAAAAGATTTTTGGAAGTTCATGGTGACTTTTAGCAACACTTTTCTTCAAAATAAATAATGAAGTAAAACTAAGAAAATTTCCATTTTTAAAAGAGAAAAAATGTGTATTATAAAGGACGTATTAAAACGGGGGCTGATGTGGCAACAGCCCCAGGCCCCTAAAAAAAATAGGCCCTTCGACTCGTGTCCTTTTCTTTCTTCAGAAAATCTGATAACTTTATTTTAGTTTTTTCACATTTCTGAGTTTTTTGAATCAATTTCATAGAAGCTTGGGAGACGTTGCAAAAAATTATTAGAGATATAGTACATCTACTTAAATTTAATCCTGAAATTTATGGTCATCTCCGTTACTGCAGATAATTTCATCATTAATTATTCATTTATTTTGAGTTTTTTAAGATTTTGATTTGTGTTTCACTGCAACAAAAGTTACAGAAGATTCGCAAAAAAAAGCATTAATATTGAATTTAAGCATGGAAAAAAGTAAAAAATATACAAAATTCTTAAAGAAAATAATAACGAGTATTACATTTTTTCGAGCACAAAACAAAATTAAGTAGTACTGTAAGTTTGAAAAACAACAGAATAAGTACAAACAAAAACAGAAACTGTAAGTTTTGTTACTCAACTACAAAAAAGAGCTAAAAAATTGGCATTTTACATGTGATGAAGGTCTCATAAACTTTATATCCCTAATTATCCCAATTTAACTAATTCCTCAAAATATGAGTTAGCAGACGCGAAAATTGCCTAACGTTGGAATAGAGGTTTGACAAGAGAGTCTACCATTTATTTATTTTAATGACCATTCGCAATTAACGTTGCACGTAAAATATTTTAGTCTTAAAATTTCAACATTTTATCACAAACAATGATAATGTACAGTAAAAGTTTAACAGATGTTGCTATTATGCTGCTGATGATGATTTTGTTTTGTAAATGGTTATTCGCATTTTTAGTGAGCTAATGTAAACCATTTCCTTTCCATTTATAAAATATAAAAAACGCGAGGTTTGTGTGCTTTCCTTTAGCCAAGTATAGTAAGTTGGTATGTTACCAAACGGAAGCATTTTATTTGTTTTTATGTAAGTATAATTTAAAGCAACAAATCACTAATAAAAAATAAAATAAAAAGATTTTGAATAAATAGTTCGAAACTTAAGTCATAGAATAATTTGTTTATAATTTCGGTATTGAATATTCATAGTTTTAAGGTTTACATTTTAAGTTTATGTTTAAGTTTTTATTTCTTTTTTATTCTAAGTTACTCAGCATTTTTGCCTCCCCAACTATTGCACTTTTTTTAATGCTGTCTATTAATTTATTATTACGGAGCTAATAATACAAAATGGAACATAGTATCGCTAGTACAAAAACTGGTATTAGCAATGCTTTTTTAACTAGAAGAATGACTTGCAACTTATTTGATATCTTCAAAAATTTAAAATATTTTTAATCAAAAGTAAAATAATTTCATTTAATAAAAATCTAAAGTTATATTTATACTTTATTTATACTTTACGTTTAGTTCCGTGAGAATATGGCTGCTAGTGAAACCGCAAATATTTTCCTTTCAACGATAATTCTTGCGTCAGTTGTATTAAATACGACAGCATGTTATATAATTTTGTTTAAAGTGAAGAAGAAGAAGTTGACACATCTGTTTATTATCAGCATATCAGTTGCAAATTTGATTGAATCTATAGTTGGGTTAACACCTCAACTTTTCATATCTAATGAATTGATATTGGTAAAAACACCGTTGTGTGTCATAAACTCTTTTGCAATCATGGGACTCGCAATAACAAGCATAACCCACATATCAGTACTTTCTCTCATCAGAATTGTTGTTATAAAATATCCAATTTTCTATTATAAAACCTGCAAGAAAATGTGGTGTAAAGTAATTTTGATATCGATATGTTATATTTACGGTTTTGGCTGGGCAACGGTTCCTTTGATTGGTTGGTCAAAATATGTATTAGATCTTGATAAGATGCGATTTTCGTTAGATTGGAAGTTGACTCAAGCAGACTCCTTATCCTTTATTCTGACACTTTTGGTTTTCTGCAACATTTTGCCTGGAGCCGTAATAGCATTAACAACATATATAGGAACAAAAACGATTTCTAAACAAAAATCAAATGAAGTTAGTCAAACTGAAAAAGAAAAACCTGTTGATATTTTAGAAAAATACTATTTGAGAGTTTTTACTTTATCAGCACTAATGTTTTTTTTCATATGGACACCTTATGCAATTGTTGGCATATTGACGTTGTCAAAGTTTGTTATTCCAACACACTTTGTGACAGTTGCAGCATTGTTTGCAAAGCTGTCGACCATTTCAAATGTTCTAATTAATTGTTTTATTAACAAATCTTTTCAAAACCAATTGCTAAGTTTAGGAATCATTCAAGCTTTCATTAACAAAAGTAAAAGAGTTTCGCCAGTTTTCCCGGAAAAATAAATTTCTATTTAAAACATAAAAGTTCACTCGTGTGAATACAAAAATAAATACAGAAACGAATTAATGTAATGAATAGGGAAAAAAAACTTTATGATCGCCAATTTTTTTGTTTTAGACTTGATTTTTTTTAAATTGTAACATGGCGTTTGGACATATTTCCACGACAGGTGTTTTACTCTTTTCGGAAACTCTGAGTGGAAAATTTTATTTGTATTATTTAAAGGAGTTTATTGACTGCTAGCGCTAATATTGTTTGATGTTGTTATTGTTTGATGTTGATATTAAGTGTGTAATTAGAATGTTGTTTATATCACGTGCGTAATTAGAATTGATCGAATTAAAATTAAATTTAAGTTAATTACAAATGAAAAATGCAGAAACTTAATGGAGAAAAAATGTTTAAAACTTTTTTTATGTAGATACTTTATTTCTATATTTAATTGTAAAAACTATATAAGAATGTTTTAAAATATACGGAGCCGAGAAAAAAAAGAAAGACGTCCTGTTTTAGATTCATCAAAGAAATAGTTTTCAAATCGAGAAATATATATTTTAAATCCAGAAATTTATTTTAAATTGCAAAATATGTTTTAAATCCAGAAATTTATACTTTTGATTGCGAAATATTGTGTAAATAGTGAAAATTTTAAATCCAGAAATATAATTAAAGTCACAAAAAATATTTCAAATCGATAAAAAGCATTTAAATATATACTATATTATAGACTATAACGATACAATCCTTAAGTTACTAACAAGATATATAGGTAACACGGATGAGAAGTTGACAAATAAGCCCCTATTATTATTGTTTTAAAGCCCACGATAACTGGGTACTACTATATTCTGATAAAAAAAAAAAAAAAGCTGATCATGTTCCTGGCTCTAACTCTTTGTTTACAGTTGAAAAGATAAATAAAGTTTTCAAAAAAAGACTTAAATTTATATAAGCAAAGTATTTAAAATCTAGCAAATAAAGTTATCAACAATTTAAATAATGACAGATCAATTCGGGATATAATTTTTCTAACGAAGGCTTTAATAATAACACTTTGTCAAAAAATAATCTAGGAGAAAAAAAAAGTTCAAAAAAAGCTATCTATTAAAAACAATCAATAATTTTCTTATTTTGGTATAGTCGACAGTAAATCTTTTGAAACTCTTAAAGATATTTCCTCGCAACGAAAAGCTAGTCAATATTGATCAAGGACCAGTTGAGTTTAGGGGCCAGCTGCGGTCCTGTATGTAATCAAGGGTTTCTTTTTTCAGTGTTTAAACAACATGCAGATGTGTAAAAAATGTATGAAAAAAATATATATTTTGTAAATTTGATTGATTCAAATGATTTTAGTAACAGCTGTGAAAAAAAAACACAAGATTTTGAGAAACCTGAAAATATAAATGATAATAGTAATAGTAGTTAATGCTGTGCTGGACAAATTCAGTGAGTCGTTACATGCTTACGTCATTAGAGTGACAAATCTAGTGAGTGTGATGTCGCACACATTACGACAGCAGTTATAATTGATTGCTTCTCAGCCAGCAATCAAGAGCTCTTTTGAAACAGTTAACCAACTTTGCTGTCACAACTTTAATCGGAAGTAAATTCAATGTATTTGCAATTCTGTTAAAAAGAAATGTTTCCTCGATTTTTTTCAAAAAATCCTTATTTGACTTAAGTATAAACATAAAAATGTTTGAAGTTTGCTCCATGTCTGGAAGTGAGCTATCTCAAAGACCAATTATTGCTGGTTGCGCCCCTATATATATATATATATATATATATATATATATATATATATATATATATATATACTTGAGCGCGATTAGACGTACTTTTTCGACTTAAGCGTTTTTTTTTTCGACCTAAAACAGCAATTTTGGATATTTTGTAGTGCGTCAAATAGCACTTCCGTAAAAATATATATATATATATATATATATATATATATATATATATATATATATATATATATATATATATATATATATATATATATATATATCCATATATATATATATATATATATATATATATATATATATATATATATATATCTCCATATATATATATATATATATATATATATATATATATATATATATATATATATATATATATATATATATATATATATATATATATATATATATATATATATATATATATATATAGATATAGATATATAGATATATAGATACTATCAAAGCATCCTTTTTAGCAATTACGGCAGATGCAGATTTTTTTTGGTTTAGTTAAAATAATATTGTATTTATTATCAAGTCATTAACATTTATTACTTACAAATTTATTGAAATTATGCACAGTAAAAACAGTTTGTGGTGAGAATTTATCTAAAATGTATATTTTAATTATTGTTGGAGAGAGGCAGACAAGAATCCCTTTTTTCTGACAACATTTGCAATTATAGCTGCGCCAGCCAAATTGAAAGGCATAAATAAACTGCACCATTAAAGTCTACATTCAAAACAGTTGAGTGATGGTGCGTTTACTGTGAGAGTAGATTAAAAGTACCACAAACCGGACACTCTTCACAAAAAGCTAAATAACTTTTTTAATTTTGAGAATCGGCAGGATTTTTTTTTCTGGAATATAGTTGTTTATTAAAGCATTTCAGCAATGTAAAAGAAAAAAAAATTAAATGTCAAGTTTTTACGGAAAATTAGATTTTATTTTTTTAAAAATAGTCCGCTTTTTGGAAAGTTATCCCTAAAAGCGGACAGTTCAAAATTAAATGAAAAAAAATTAGATAAATTGATAAATTCAAAATTTTTGTTTTTATTGTTAAAATATACACATGATAATAATACAAGCAGAAAAAACTAGACAAAAACAAAACAAAAAAACATATGCAAACTTGAGCCTAAAATAAAAATAAAAATTTATAAAATAGGTTCTGCAGCCTGTCGTGCAAAAGAATTTTTATATATCTTTTGCACGAAATATCTTTTTGGGAAACAAGGTTCACAAAGCCACAAATTGCAACTTGATTTTTCACAGCCAGATATGCAAGTTTTCCATAAAACTTGCATATCTGGCTTTTCATTTTCGAAAAACTTTGCGCACGTTTTGCACTTTTTGTACTTTTTTTGGTTTTCTTGGCAGGAGTTTCTACTTATGCTGCTGCAAAATCAACATATGTTCGTTTTAATAGCTTCGCGTCTTCTTCTTCTCTTAACTTGTTTAACCATGCTTCTTCTGTAAAAGGTTGACCAGCCACTGTTCTTACATTTCTGGCTTTTTTTGCAGGATGTTTGTAGGCGTTTGGGAATTGAAATTGCTTTAAGAGAGCTCTTTTAAGATTGATTTTTACACAAGTCACCAATTGTTCTTGAAAAGTTAAATTTAAGATTGAAATTGAAGTTGGAGTTGCTGGCGGAACTAACTTGATTTTGGTATGCGGTAGAACTTAGCTACGCCTCTTAAGCTTAACTCGCCATTTTCAATTTTATTCAATGCGTTTTTTAGAGTCTCCTTAGTGTAAGACTTCTCGTTTGTTTTATTTGTTTTATTATTTGTTTTATTTTTGTAAAAGTCTAGTAAATTCAATTCAGTTATAGATTTTTGAAATTGAAGAATCGATGCACTTTTGTGGTTACTTTGTGTACTTTTGCACTCTAACTTCAACAGTATAAGTGCAAAAGAACAAAATTAATTATCACAAAAGTAAAAACTTTAAAAAACCAAATGAAAAAAATTCAGTCAATTTGAAAAAATCATAAAATAAATTAACTTTAACATAATAAAAAAATTCGAGTGAAAAAATAATAAACAAAAAAATAATAGGCACAGCATATTAAATTTTAGGGTGAAAACTGAAGAAAATCTTATTTCCGTCATAACTTTTTTACGGAGTAAGATTATAAAATTCTAAAACTATTTTTGAAATTAGCAGAAAATTTCCAACAAAATAGCTTTCTTTATTTATAAATTCCCTTTTTAAATCTTTCATGCCAAGAACCTAATTTCGAAAAAAAAGGTTGATTTTTAGGGTTAGATTTTGTTTGAAGTTATATATCTTATTAAGCTAATCATCTGAAGAATTTTTTTTTTGAAATTTTATAATTTTTCACTCACTAAAAATTAAAAACTTTTTTAAATTTTGCAAATATCTTTATTTTTAGTGAAGATGTTTAGTTTTTTCGATCAGTGTCCGCTTTTGCGCACTGTCCGGTTTGTGGTACTTTTACTCTAGTTAATGAAAAATTCCAGTTTTTAATTACTCAATTAGTAAAAAAATTGCGTCTTTCATAATATTTCAATTTTTTTTCTCGACGGCTAGATCAAAGGCATGGCTCCTTATTCTTTAACTATACTTAGATCTTCAATACACTGGTGTGGTTTGTGGCGCAACAAAATTGATTGAATCAATTCCATTAATTACTTTGTAATGCTGTATAAGGTCCATACACGTGCTGTGGTTTTCAAGTGTAGTCAAATCGAGCCGTGTTAAACGTTTCACTTATTTTAGGTAACTTATTGACTTAATCCATTTTCGTGGTTCAATGATGAATTTTTTCGGTTGTATTTATATCTCCTATGAAATGAGGAGACCACGCTGTGACGGCAAACTCTAATAATGGATCCTTTTTTAAATTTCCCTAGCACTCTATTTATATCTGCAGCTGCGTGCTCAGCTTGTAACTTCACTTTAAGATTATTAGATACTATAACCCCAAATTGCATTATTTTGCTATGGTTTCGATTTTTTTGCGATGACCATTTTGTGATTCCATTGTATACATATGGTTTGGCTCTTTTTTTTTTTTTGGCCCATGTGCATAACTTTGCATTTTTTAATGTTAAATGGCATAAGCCATTTTTTAAACCATTTAACGCTGTGTCAAAATCTTTTTTTAGACATAGTACATCTTTTTCAGACTTGATAATACCTATGATTTTGCCATCGTCTGCATTTTTTTTGTATGACTCAAAATTAAGTCCGGTAAATCGTTAATGTAGAACACAAAAAGGAGCGGACCTAAAAACGAATCCTGAATCACTCCACTAAACTCTTTTCTCCATGGCGATAATGTATTATTTATTTTGACACATTGTTCTCTATTGTCAACTAATTTCTTATCCAGTTATGTAGTTGACCGTGAATTCCAAATGCCTATAGTTTATATAAGAGTCTTTCGTGCGGTACCTTATCGAACGCTTTTGAAAAGTCTATATGAATTACGTTTGCTGTAAAACCCTGATTGATGGTTCTTTTCGACACAATGTT